GGTCATCGGACAAGGAAAAGTGATTGGGGATTCAAATAAAACAAATGACTACTCATGCTATAGTTAGCACTACGTGCTGTTCTGAACTCTGCTGTGGAACACCTGTTGTACTTTTCATACTATTCACATGCATTACCTGGAATACTCCAGTTTTCAACATTGCCTGCTTCAGTTCCTTAAACCTTAGAAATATCCAGACATGCCAATATTATGAGACCAAACTATATCTTAAACTGTTTTTCCTATTGAGGAGTATGAAAGAACTCTTCACTGTAGCACAGGTCCCAGTTTTTGGTTGGAATATAGTCACCGTAATTTTCATTGTCAATAAATACTGCTGGCTAATTCAGAGGTGACCTGTGGAAGCAACACGTGCTCTAAGAACTCCTGTTTCCACTGTCTGGCATTATTAGTGTGTCCTTACTTAGACTTAGCTCTTCCAGAGAGAGAGCCATCTGCTTCTCAATGACTGCGCAATGGTGTTGACTTCTAGAGAAGAGTAGCCCAAGAGCCAAATATTAGAGGTCTTACTGCTTCCCTTAAGTGCATGGCAAGAGAAAGAGGGAAAGCAAGGTGATAAAAGGACTGACTTGCTTTGCCAATGGCCCAGCACTGGTCCATTTTATAAAGTCTAGCACAAAAACCACTCTTTTGAATTAGATACTGTGTATATCCTGTGTACTTCAAGTCATACCAGCATTCCCCACAATAGAGCTTAGGAATGCTATTTATCTTGTACTCAGGCCAACTGTGTGGCTCTCTAATGAACAGCTGGTTCCCCATCCACCTCTAGGGCTACCTAGTTCATGTATAAATAGTATTTTTGCATCAAAAACACTAACCCCATGGAAACTAATTGTTCATCTACACACACGCGCGCACACGCGCACGCACTCATGCACACATACACACACACAAGAAGGAAAAGAAAGATGGGGCAAATTAGGTCAGAGGTAGGAGGAAAAGACAAAACAGGGGGAGCCTGGGGTTTGTAACTGAGACGTGACATGCATTAGATTTGAAGTCAGGTTACTGAAGCCCCAGGTTATGTTCCAAGGTCTAAACAGGACGTCCATTGAGTCTTTGATTCCTAAAGACATTTAATGCCTTATAAAAGAGCTTTGCTATATCATTATTCCTAACTACCTCAGAAGTAAAACGATATTTTTAAAGTGTTCAGTATTTGTATACCTCTAGGCTGAATTAGTAAACTACAAGAGACCCAATTTATAGCCACAAAATGAGGATCTAGTGTTGGTCACCGTCTACACACTTTTTAGTAAACACCAGTGTTTCACAATCTATTTTTTGTTAATTATTATTTTGTTAATCTTTTAAGAGACAGGGTCTCATTCTGTCACCCAGGCTGGAGTGCAGTGGTGCGATTATAGCTCACTGCAGCCTTGAGCTCCTGGGTTCAGGTGATTCTTCCTCCTAAGCCTCCCCAGTAGCTGGGATTACAGGTGCATGCCACCATACCCAGCTAATTTGTTTATTTTGTTTTTGTAGAGATGGGATCTCACTGTTTTCCAGGCTGGTCTGAACTCCTGGCCTTAAGCGATCCTCCTGCCTCAGCTTCTGAAAATGTTGGGATTACAGGTGTGAGCCATTGCACCTTATTTTTTGTTAATTATATTACTACACATGTTCAGTTCATTATGGATACTTCTTACCGGATATCCAATCAGGTAGGGTTACCAAATTGGTAGTTATCATATCCTAAAATTTAGGCCATCATTTTTCTTGGATCAATGACTTTCTATCTCCTTCAGAGCCTTACTTTACCCATCTACCCAATCTCTTATAATCAGGAGACCTCTGACTACATATAGACTATGTATTTCTGTTTCTACCCAAGATGGAAAAAGTGTAACTATTAGACACATTGCATTGCACATCAGCCAAGGAGGTGGTCTTACACATTCTAATAAAAGGGTTTGTGTATTCAACTTAATAGCTAAAACATTACCAATAATAATATATATGTGTACTCTTCCTTGATCAACCTATTCCTTAACGTTAGATTTTTAAACAAATCCCTTCTGGGTGCCAGCTTACTGCTAAATCAAGGCAAACAATTATTTCCAACATTTTGTTATCATATTTTAAAGTAATTATTTGCTTTATTAGGATGGGAACTCTGGCTGTACCCTCTCACTCCCTGGCCCCAGATTTAACACAGCATTTATTTCACAATATTTGTGCAGGCCTTTATTGAACCAGGGGACACACCCATGAGTAACATTGATTTCTCTTGGTGGTGACCCAGCCGGAGCATGTCAAAATGAGTACCTATCTATTCTATTAAGATAATGGAGGAAAAGAGAAGCATGCCATCAAGATAAAGGAACACAAACTACCACATTACCTTGAAAACAAATCTGAGTATTTGTTGTGTGTGAACACATATCAGTGCTGCTTGTGAAAGAAACAAGGCTTTTGAGCTGGAAGGCAATTTCAAAAGACAACACCTGTTTCAAAATAGGGCAAAGAGTTCACAGCTGCATTTTGAAATTTCAGTGTGCACTTTTATTTCTGGATGTTATCCACATAGGCTTAGGAGATGTAAAGACGGAACACCACAAGAGGACAGATGTGCATGAATCAAGAAATTCTATTTCCTATTTAAAATTCAGAAAAGATTGTTGCTACATACCCTAGGTTGTTAACTGGGTACACTGATCACAGAGCTTCGATAACCCAAGTAAGTGGCAAGGTGTTGATACACTTGCAGAGTATCAACTGAGCCTAGCTGACAGTATCTAAAAATGTCCTGAGCCTAGCCCATAGTATCTAAAAATGAGATGGGAAGAGCAAGCACTCCACTATCTATGGAGGACAAACACCGCCCTCTACTGGCAGACTGTAACGGCTATATAGTCAATATGATGAACATTTTCCTCAACAGTCACTTTGAGACATAATCAGAAAACAAAAGCTTTTAAATAATTTGAGGTTTTGTAACTAGGGGTTACCAGGATTTTCAAGCAAACTGAAATATTCAATGAGAAATCTCCTTACTCAATGGTTTCCGATTTTTCCCATTAAATCTTTGATGTAACTCATTGGACTGGTTCAAGTATCACTGTTACTGGGAGACGTGAGAGAACAGCAAAATGCTCAAAAGCTCAATACCAGGAAGAAGGTTTAACGGATCCATTTATACCAAATGGAGCTGGCTTTAGAACGAACAACTGTGATAACTTAAAGCACACAGAACTGATTCAAACCCTTGTTGTACTACATACTAGCTACATCAGGTGCCACATCAAACCTCAAACTGAACCAGATTATTTTTTACAATATTGGAAGAACAAACACTTGCTGAACTCACACTGTTGGAAAAATTAAATGTAGTATGTGTTGCACAACTAGTGTAGTACTCCATACCAATGTTCATGGATAGGAGTCTAGGTAGCTCCAAGTTGTGTTTTACCTCTCTTTATCTGTTTATCCACTTGTTGGTTTTTGAAATCCTTTAAATCAGACTGCATTTTTCTTCAGCACTGTCCTGAAACACAAAATTGTCTATGTCATCCATAAAATACCTAAGGATTATGAGGAAAAGTAGATGGTTAATGTTCATCCAAAGTCAACGTTAACCTGAGACAACTCATTATATAAGAAATAAATGTATGTGGGTAGGGTGCTTGCACCTGTAATCTCAGCTACTCATAATCTGAGCTACTGGGGAAGCTGAAGCAGGAGGATACCTTGAGCCCAGGAATTTGAGACCAGCCCAGACAACATAGCAAGACTCTCGTATCTCTATAAAAGAAAAAAATGGCTGGGAGGGGTGGCTAATGCCTATAATCCTAGAACTTTGGGAGGCCGAGGTGGGCAGATCACTTGAGGTCAGGAGTTCGAGAGCAGCCTGGCCAACATAGTGAAACCCCGTCTCTACTAAAAGTACAAAAATTAGCCAGGTGTGGTGGCATATGCCTGTAATCCCAGCTACTTGGGAGGCTGAGGCAGGAAAATTGCTTGAACCTGGGAGGTGGAGTTTGCAGTGAGCTGAGACTGCGCCACTGCACTCTAGCCTGGGTGACAGAGTGAGACTCCATTTCAAAAAAATATAAAAAATGAAAAATAAGGCCAGGTGCAGTGGCTCACGTCTGTAATCCCAGCACTTTGGGAGGCCAGGAGTTAGAGACCAGCCTGGCCAACATGGTGAAACCCCATCTCTACTAAAAATACAAGAATTAGCCGGGTGTGGTGGCGGGGGCCTGTAATCCCAGATACTCGGGAGGCTGAGGCAGAAGAATCGCTTGAACCCGGGAGGCGGAGGTTGCAGTGAGCCGAGAACATGCCATTGCACTCCAGCCTGGGCTACAAAAGCAAGACTCCGTCTCAAAAAAAAAAAAAAAAAAAAAAAAAAAAAAAAAAAAAAAGTAAAGTTAGCTAGAAGCATTTAATTTCAAAGCCAAATTTGCATTTAAATTATAGTATTTAGCTGACAAGGCAAGTATGTAAACAAGAGGAAAAGTTGAAAAGAAAAAAGCCCTAATAGCTACAATATCAGCCCTGTTCTAAAGAGGGATCTTGTATCACATTCTCCACCTAATGAGTAATCTTTAATTCAAAATTCAGTGTAGTTCTTATGGGTATTTGGTATTGAATCCAAGTGTGTTTTTGAGTATAAACGTTATCTTTTATTATATATGATTGTTAAACTTTGCTTTCCACAACACTTCATAACCTTGGATGTAAACATGAGAAAAAACGCTAATTAAGAATCCTTATGCACTCAGTCCAGTGCTCCCTTAATCAATCAGAAACTGGTAAATCCACTGCTTCTTGATTCCATTCTGAGCTATTGACTTTTGAACCAAGACATGCTTATCTTTTACCAATAACAGGGATGGTCACAAAGTTTCTAAATAATTTATTAGGGAAATAAGTTCCCCCAAAGTCAGGCTGGACTGAGAGCTGATTATCAAAGCTGTGTAAGTTAGTGTGTTTGCTTTAAAGTATTACAAGAAGTACACAGAGCACACATCTGGGTTATAAAAGCCCTTTTATAAAGCCATTTTTAAACAAAACAAAAAAAAAGTTTACAAAAGAAAAAAGATACAGAAAAAGAATAACTTGCTTCATATGTCCCAAAAAGAGAAAAAAATAAAGGGGACTATGCCAACATGCTCAACAATAAAGGGTTCTTTTTCTTATTTTTTTAATACAAAATACAAGCAAAGGATACACATACTTAAAACAGAGCTCAGGAGCAGACACGCAGTCCTGGAAACCCTTCAATAAAAGCAAAGCAGGAGTTTGTTTTTTCTTTGTCTATGCAGATACATACAGAGACTGGGATATGTAAAAATTAAGGATCACAAAAGACCATCACACGATTCTACCAATGCATGTTGCATCTATAATTCACGAACATGGTCAACAAAATCATGTTCACTTCAACCTCATTTCATTTAAATTAAAGAAAAAAACCCTTTAAATAAAGTGGTTACATTCAAACTTTAACTTCCTTAGTACCATGCTGCAGATTTCAGCACTGTTAAGGTATTGCAAGAACGCCCAACCCTCTGGTGTCTGATCATGTATCCAGCAACACTGCAGTATGAAGAAAAGAGATGCCCCGGTCTTAGCCCATGGACTAGTTAATACAGTAAAGCAGGTTCCTGTCTTTTACCCTTCCTGCTCAGAACATAAAAGATTAAGGACTAAAATCAAGCAACTGGGAGTTTTAGAGCTGGCAAAATGAAGTCTAAAAGATAAATCAAGGCAAACAATTACTGAGAACTTGGCTGTTGCTTAACCTGGCAAGTCTAAAAGTCTTTCTTTAACCTTGTAGGAATTAGATGCATAAGGTTTGCTGCAACATGTTCATGGTAAACAAACTAAGTAGAGCTCTTATTTACAAATCTTGTAACAAATACTTCTGGAGGAAAAAGAGAAAAGAATTCACTAAGTTCCAGAAGACAAAGCTTTAATTGCCAGACGTATACAAACACACACTCACACACACACACCCACACAATACTTCAGGGGTTTTTATACATGTTATTTTAGGGCATAAGCTGAGTACTATACCCCCACACCCCATCAAAAAAGGAACAACAAAAAATCCCAATTTTACCCTCCCCCAGTAATCTAGAAAACCCTCCCTTCACCCCTGATGTACAAAGTGTATGCACAACGGTGGCATTCTACCAGCCACACAAAGCATGCTCAAACAGATGTCACCAGTTCAGTCACTCCATTGGCATGGCAACAGGCAGGTTTACGGGATTTTTCCCAATAGTGGTTATTACACAGTCAGCACCACTGTGAATTCTATGAATTTGAAAAAAAAAAAAAAAAAAAAAAAGTATAATTTACGGATTCAGGATTCAAAAAGAATAATTTGTATCGAATTTATCCCAGACAAAGGGAAAACTGGTTGCAACTGAAACTTGGCTATAGCTTGATGTCCCAATATTCAAACAATAAACCAACTCTCCATTTTCAAGTAAATATCCAGCTTCATCCACAGAGAAACAGACAATTTTCTAACCTCAAGAGCAACCAGCTTGTTACATTTTCCCTATCCTGTGGCAGGAAATGCATATTACTTCTGTTCTGTTTAAGTATCTCAGTCTAAATGCCATGAAGACCAGAGCCCAGGTTTCTTCCCTTTCAAATTCTTAAGGTGAAAGTTTTTTCTTTTCAGTGCAGCTACCAATGATGCAGGCAAAGATCTGTTCAAACCAGCACTCATTCTACAAAGCTGCAACAATGGCCACCATGATCTTTTATAAAGCTTTCCCCGTTGCTCCTGATATTTATTTCTGCTTTCGCCTTACACTCAAAGCATCTCGTAAAAGTAATTAAAGAAAAGCACGATTCCCTTCCCCAACCAGTACTTGAAAATCCACTTATCTGAATGTTCACAGATAAAAAAATCATTAAAAAAAAAAAAATCAAGTTTAGTCTAGCTGACCATATTCACAAGTGTTAAAAACTTTACTGGTGTATAACCTCAAATTTCACTCTTGATTTGTTATCTATAAGAAAATGCTATTTGAGCCAGTACCAAATTAAGTATTAAACTGAGGATTGAACTGGGGCAAACAGGTTATTGTGGAAACAGTCAGTATGTAAGCTCCTTCAAGGGAAATCAACTACTATTCCTCAAGATTAAAAGATGTCCACACTCATTACATTACCTCCCTACAGGAGGAAACACCCTTTAATTTTCCCTTATGGAATCAATATGGAGTGGAAATATGAAATGGGGAGATGTTTTAGAAAGCAAGACAAATCTACCTACCATTACTGGAATTAAAATGTATCCTCTGGGCCCACTCCATTGATTCCGATCTGAGGTGAGGAGGACTAAAAGCAGCAGCAGGTTACAGATAGATTGAATAAGGTGTAAGTATGCTACGTATGTCTAGCTGGGGAAGGGGGGATCTGGAAAAAAAATCTTAAGAACTAGAATGTAGTGTCAGTCAGCATAGCTGCCGAAATCTACGTTGTAGAGGTAAACCTAGCAGAGCTAATACAAACAAGCACCTTCAAAGTTAACGTCCCACTTCCTGAGCACTGCAAAATACGACAGTGAATGCTATTGCCATTTCACCATAGGCACACTAGAGAAAAAGAGGAAGGTTAGTCAAGGGTGGTGCCAATGGCCAGTCAGTATCGGCTTACAGCTTGTAATGCATTCTGACATCACTATCAAGCCTGACTATTGAGCACCTGTATCCAGTTGAGTCACCACCACTGTCCTCCTATTTGCATGCATGATTTGAGGGGAAGACTTTTAAAGTGTTTTAAATCATCAATAAAAAGTGGAGAAAACAAAGGTTATCAGAGCCTGTCTCACTTGGGGACACAGATCCTTCTGTCCAGTCTATCAGAAATATAGAGTACATTTTTCAATCTAATGAATTAATTTTAAAAGGGACTCTAAACAAGAAGCCCAATCAAATGCACACAAGTAACCTAGAAGACATGATTACCTCTAAAATATGTGCGTATATCACAGAGATGTTAGTGCAGATTAATATATTAAACAGACTGTTACACAAACAACTGAGGCTGAAGTTTTAAAAGCGCCCTCCCCCCGAATCTTCACGAAACATAACCTAAGAAAAGCCCACATGTTACTAGGAATGTAAGACTTAAAATTATAAACTCCTAAAAAATAGAAGTGCATGGTGGAAACACTGATCGGTCTTTTACTATATGAACACAAACCTCTTTGTTAAAAATGGATACCTGAACAAACCCATTTAGGCAAATAGATTAATCTTTAACACCCTCATTACAAAGTTCACAACTCTGAATTTAACCATCATGAAAGAGAATGATCCAACTGCTATTTATGTTCAAGTCCTGTATTTTTGGCCATGTACTGAAAACTCCTTATTCATTCTTTAACACACAGTGCAATAGTGAAATGACTCTGCCACTGTGTGTTTTTTAAAAAAAATCAGAGTAAGCATGTTCCTAGTAAACCACAAAGTAGGATACTGAGGAAGCAAATCTAGATTAAAAGGCAGGAAAAAAAAAGGCAGAAGTTAAATTTCACTAATTTTTCAATTTATTAGCATACCAGGACCCTTTAAACCTTGTTCCCATTAGCGCCTGGTATCAGATGTGAAGGATCAAACCTATGGATCTATCTCCTGACTGCTTTTATAAGGCATGCAAAAAGTCTGTTATCAACTGCACACAGGCCTGCTAAAATGCCTGGTTTCTCTAGTCCCTCCTGCTTTAAGCAGCATAAGCAGTAAAGCAGGGGTTGGACCAACTAAAAAGACAAGAGCTAACTTGAATTGTATGGGAGCAGCATTTAACATATTCCTAGTCAAGGACAGGATGGGAAATAAGTGAAGAATAGGGCCAGGAAAATAGTGTCCTATAGCAAAGGTGTTCGGCACTCAGGGCAGAGTGTGCAGCGGTGCCCTACGAAGCAGCAGGATCACAAGGATGTACTTCTTATCACATTTCTATGAAGAAATGGGAAGATCGGGATATGAAAAAGAAAATGTTCTAGCCCCAAATAAAAGCAGAACATGGTTAATGGGACCTGAATGCACATTTATAGCATAAAAGAATGTCAATTCTATCTCATAAAGGAAAAATCTCAACTCTTTGTGACTGAGTTTCACATTAACTGGAACTTTATTTGCTTAAAACCCATTGTCAGTTTGAAAAGAAATCCACTGTGACGTGTAGAATGATCTTGTCGATTAAATTCTAGAGTAATTTTTTTTTTTTTTGATTCTTGGTAAAATTTTATCCAAAAAACAGGATACATATATATTTAGAGAAGGAAATATGAAATCAAGAGTGATTTCAGTTTTGGCGGCCCTTGCTTATTTATTTATTTAGCTCCCTAAAGACTGTAGCAGGATAAAAGGATCACTGGCTCCGAGTCTCTTTGAGATAACAAGTGATGAAATAAAAAAGAAAGCCCACACCCTCAAATAAAGTCAGGTAATCCCATTGCCCACCCTCCCCACAAGGTAAAAAAATGAGTACTTTTAGTAACAGTTCAGAATTCATCTTTATCTCCTACCTGCCTCATCAGTGGAAGTTTAAGGTCATGATTTTTTTTAGATATTGATACTTGTGTCTATAGACAAATAAACTCTATTAGATGACAATTGATTTTTTAAAAGTCCAGGTAGAGAAAGGAGCAATCATTTTGAACTAAAATCTATGTTTTTTGATTACTATTCAACTTGCTATTTTTTAGCAAAAAGCAAAGTTTCAATAATGTTCATCTCAAATCTTATTGCTTTACAACTGTGGTACACCTTTCATTAAAAACAAAAAGATGAAGCAGTCAATCCAGTGATTAATTTGACATGGCTTTCATTGGGAAAGGGGAGGACTGGCAAAGAGACCAACAGACAAAAAGGTGACTTGAACACTTAAACATACAATGGTTTGCTTTAAAAAAAAAAAAAAAAAAGAGAGAGAGAAATGTTACTTTCAACAAATGGAAAAAAGCACTGAAAGCCCATGAGTCAAGCCATAGCCAAAACCATGTTCTATCTTAAGTAGGTTTTTTTTTTTCCTCCCTCTTTTTTCTTTTTTTTTTTTTTCTTTTTTTTAATAAAATCTCTCCCCAGACCATCATCACTTCTAATCCTCCCCAGACGGGGCTTCATCTTCAGACCCTTCATCCCCAGATTTCTCGGGTGGGGGGCTTGTAGATGTTTTCTTTTCTGGCGGGCTTTCTGGTTCCTCATCTTCTTCTTTGGGAGAAGGAGTCTTTTCCTTTGATGCCTTTGAAGCTGTGGGGCGACCCACTTTCCCTTTGCCTTTCACTGGACTTGGCGTCACTGAAAATAGAAAAATAATTTGGGGAAGGGAAGAGAAAAAAATGTCTTTAATACAAGTCAGCTACAAAATAAAACAATCTGTAAGAATAAAATCTATAAAGACAATACGCAACTTACTAAAAATCAAGGTAGGCACAAGGGAGCGCATATATCCCTAAGTAAATCTATCTCAATTTCTAAACTGTTCATAAGTTACTATACTATGTTGCAGTATTTCCCATCAGTTTTTACCAACACTCTATGATGTTAACAGTAATACTTGTAATGAAGAAGCACGTGCACAACATCCTTAATTGCTTGGTAAACTAACAGTTGTTTATGCTAAAAGTTGTTTATAAAAAGCAGGTCAAAAAGAGGGAAGGAAAAGAATTAATCTGATTCAGAAACTAAAGCTATCAAATAACATTTGATAGTTCCATCATTCCTAACAGTAGGAAGTGATAAACAGAAGTTTAACAATGACTAGTTCTACCTAACAGAATAAAACCACCTACACAAAAAGCAAATTGATTTCTGATTTAGTTAACAAATTAGTTCCAACTAGGAGAACTCATTAGGGCGCAGAAAAAAATTAACTCATGTCATCAAGTGTGGTTTTATTCTGATAGCACAGAGGATGGGGTAGAGTTCAGAACATGGAACTTAAATGTATTACTCTAGGTTTGTGCATTTTCACAATTAAGTCTTTGCTGGCTGCTGAGACTGTGATACCAGTGAGGAAAAAAGAGCAGTAACAGCTATGATGATACAGCATTTCTACCACTGTCTGAAACAAATAGATCATTCTCTGAAATCTTGCTCAAGTACTGGCAATAGTTGAAGAACATAGCTAAGCCCACTAGACTCTTAAACAGGCTAGTGTCTTTATTAATAAGAGATACTTCCAGTTGCAGAATACAAGACCCTTTTAGATTTCTTGTATTCCTGCCAAACATCAGGTCAATGCCAAATCCGAATGAAGAATTTCTGTATTGAAAATAATGTTTCTCAAAATTTTTAAAGCAGTACATTTAATTTCACTTCTGCAGAACTTACCTGTAGCCTTTAGCCTGGGTTTGGGCATTTTCTTTTCTTTTCTTTCAGGTTTGGACTTCTTAACCATCTTTTTGTTTTTCTTTTTTGAACTGCCATAGTCACTATCATCATCATCTTCCATTAGGAAATCTTCATCGCTGCCGGAATCTTCTGAGAAGAAAGAAGAATTTCAACGTCTAACTTAATGTACGTATCCTTCCAAGTGAAAAAGGAAGAGAGTACTAAGAATGACTAGAGGATGGGATGGGAGTCAAACACCCTTGGATTCTATTTGGAGCTGTAGCACCAATTTGACTGGAGTAATCACCAGCCTCAGTTGTCAAATGGATTTTGCATGCACTTTACATGAGAGAGTTACATGAGTGATGTGTTTGAAAAGTAGACTGAAAACAGGAAGAGTAAGAGCTAATCTGAATCAAAACTGAAACTATCAAATAACTTTTGGTAGTTCCATCATTTCCATGTAGCACTGGTTGAGACCAGAGAAACAAAACTGAACCGACAGGGCCTTTTTGGTCCAATTATGAATAAGTGAAACAAGAAAACCAAACATGAAACAAAAATACACAGAATTAACTAATCTGGGCCGGGTGCCGTGGCTCACGTCCGTAATCCCAGCACTTTGGGAGGCCGAGGCAGGCGGATCACGAGGTCAGGAGATTGAGACCACAATGAAACCCCTCTCTACTAAAAATACAAAAAAATTAGCCAGGCGTGGTGGCGAGCACCTGTAGTCCCAGCTACTCAGGAGGCTGAGGCAGGAGAATGGCGTGAACCTGGGAGGCGGAGCTTGCAGTGAGCCAAGATAGCACCACTGAACTCCAGCCTGGGCGACAGAGCGAGACTGTCTCAAAAGAAAAAAAAAAAAAAGAATGAACTAATATGACTAACCTGTGAAACACCTAACTTTTGTTATGAACATTTTTTTTTCTGTAAAAAGAGGTCTACAACCTCCTCCACCAGGGCAAAATACAAATCTCTATCACAGTGCCTAATGTGACTGTTACTTAAGCAACTGTTCATTCAGTGTTTGAACACAAACATCATTAAATAAAGAGTGCAACCATTACAAATGGTGGGCAATCGTGAGAATCTCTGAACCTTTAAAATATTAACAGGAACCAACACAGTCATCTCTTTTAACAGGGAGTATCTATCCAATTTAAGGGACTGGTTATAACATTTAGCATCCTAGAAAATGCCAAAGTAACCAAGGTCACAAACTACAATTATGACCAAACGACCAAAGTACACAAAACAACTTCACATACTCTCTTGGAACGGTGCCTCATCCTCCTCTTCTTGTTCTTCCTCACTGCCCACATCTTCCATGAGCATCTCCCTCTGTTTAGAAGCTGCTTTAGACGCTGCCTGCCGTTGCTGGCGCACGTTTTTATGATCTTCTTTTTCATCTTCACTATCCTCTGCAATATCAGAATTACCATGACATAATGATTAAAGAATTTTGTATTTGACAAGATAGTGCAAAAGATTAATAATTGACTGAAAATGTAACTGACTGAAAAAGCCAACATAGTGGCCAATATAGGATATAATCTGCAGCTTTATTTCATTGTAAAAGGGCAAATTCTATCCTTCATTTCTGCGAAATGATGGAATCAACTCAAATGCCCATCAATGATAGACTGGATAAATAAAATGTGGTACATACACACCATGGAATACTATGCAGTCATAAAAAGGGAAGGAGATCATGTCCTTTGCAGGGACATGGATGGAGCTGGAGGCCATCATCCTCAGCAAACTAATGCAGGCACAAAAGACCAAACACTGCATGTTCTCACTTATAAGTGAGAGCTGAACAATGAGAACACATGGACACAGGGAGGGAACAACACACACTGGAGCCTGTGGCGAGGGAGGGGGCAGGGTAGGGGGATGGAGAGGGAGAGCACTAAAAAATAGCTACTGCATGCTGGGCTTAATACCTAGGTGATGGGTTGATGGGTGCAGCAAATCACCATGGCACACGTTTACCTATGTAACAAACCTGCACATCCTGCACATGTATCCCAGAACATAAAATAAAAATTAAAAAAAAATTCTACAAAATGTATAAAGGAGGACCTAAATTCATAAAGAATGAGCTTGGACAAGACTATGTACCCACTAATACATATAAAGCAACAAAGACATGTAATTTTAAGCAGTAGCTAAGCTGAATTAAAGCGTGAACACATAACTCCTATATTTTAAAGTTACATCACTGCTTTGCTCTAAAATTCTCAATTACATTCAAATCTATGTTCACTGTTTTTAAAAGTTAGTTAGAAAAATATCTTAACATAGTATGAGAGGGAAAGAATGTCTTCCAATAATCTTTATTCTAAGACATAAAACATGAAAACCCTAAAATAATGTCAAACTGTTATCCTTTATAATGAATGGCTTGTGACCATTTCAATTTAGAGGGGATTGAGGAAAATATATACTTTTTTTTTTTTGAGACAGAGTTTTGCTCTTGTTGCCCAGGCTGGAGTGCAATGGCGCAATCTCACCTCACTGCAACCTCCACCTCCCGGGTTCAAGCGATTCTCCTGCCTCAGCTTCCCGAGTAACTGGGATTACAGGTGCATGCCACCATGCCCGGCTGATTTTGTATTTTTAGTAGAGACGGGGTTTCACCATGTTGGTCAGGCTGGTCTCAAACTCCTGACCTTAGGTAATCCACGCTCCTTGGCCTCCCAAAGAGCTAGGATTACAGGCGTGAGCTACTGTGCCCGGCTGGAAAATCTTTAAAATACATATTTAGATCAACTAGTGAAAGATGTTTGGAGAAGCCTATAAAAAATTTACTTTCACATATTCTTAGAGTCTATTAATTAAAAATAATTTTTTTTTTTTTTTTAATTTGGAGTCTCACTCTGTTGCCCAGATTGGAGTGCAGTGGCACAATCTTGGCTCACTGCAGCCTGTGCCTCCTGGGTTCAAGCTATTCTCCTGCCTCAGCCTCCTGAGTAGCTGGGACTACAGGCACGTGCTGCCATGCCCGGCTAATTTCTTGCTGTTGTTGTTGTTTGTTTTTTAAGATGGAGTTTCGCTCTTCTTGCTTAGGCTGGAGTGCAATGGCGGGATCTTGGCTCACTGTAACCTCTGCCTTCCAGGTTCAAGTGATTCTCCTGCCTCAGTCTCCTGAGTAACTGGGATTACAGGCAGCCGCCACCACGCCTGGCTAATTTTTTAAATTTTTAGTATAGAAGGAGTTTTGCCATGTTGGCCAGGTTGGTCTTGAACTCCTGACCTCAGGTAATCTACCGGCCTTGGCCTCCCAAAGTGCTGGAATTACAGACATGAGCCACTGGGCTCAGCCATATTTTTGTATTTTTGATAGAGACAGGGTTTTGCCATGTTTGCCAGGCTGGTCTTGAACCCTTGACCCCAGGTGATCCACCCACCTTGGCCTCCCAAAGTGCTGGAATGGCGGGCATGAGTCACCATGCTCAGCCTAAAGAAAACGTTTTTAACACACAGTTGTGTTTGTGAATAAATTTGGTTAAAGGATAGGCTGCCAGCCTATTGCCTCTGGAGTAAACCATATTTGCATTAGTCTCTACCTACAGCCCTTCTCCTGAAGTTTTAGGCTCCCTTATTCTGTCAAGGTTAAGTGGTCACTCTTCTGAAAACACTTCTAGTCCTATGAGCCTTGCCATGGTCAGTGTTCAAGTCATCTCTTTCACTTTTAAAAATCTCATCTAGAGACAAACAGAATAAAGCTGACATGGCAGACCCAAAACCAAACTCACTTGGTAGAAGCTTAGCTTAATACTAGTACAGAGTTATTTATCCAGAAGTACTCAATAAACTAGCAAGCGTAAGAGATTCAAATTAGGATTTACAAGGCAGATGAGTGAAAGCACGTACTATATTATCACAGGATCACCAGATAGTGCAAAATTGATTAATATAGTTTCTTTTCAACTTAGGTAGCCAGATACTATACTTGAACAGACGGGAAAGCAAAACAGCCAAGCAGAGTGAATTTAGCCGAACTTTGTCTCTCCCCTTTGTATTAGCTAAACGGCAGTCTCATTTAAAGGGAGATCCAGGGAGACAACAGCAAGGGAATGTAAGTGAAAACTAACATGGCTGGAAGTAATATGGATTAAAAATCTCAATTCTTACAAGATTAAATTTAAAAATAAATACCAACAGCAAGTAGAATCATCAGGACTGAACATTTTATTTGGCCATGGAAACTCCGCATTAATTCATATTAATTCTTTTAAGTTAAAATTTTTATAAAAAAAGCTTTCTCTATGGCTACTGTTTCAAAAGACTATGTCTCCGCTAAAAACAGTGGGAATGAAACTTTCATTTGCTTTTCCACCCAGAGTCCACCACTCCCACTTTTTAATGCCTCTATTTTACTAAGTTTTATATTTATATATTATTCTATTTAGTCTGATGTCTTTTGTTTATGTAAATGATTTCTAATATTGACCATGCATAATAATGCATAGATACTTAAAGAAAACCAAGCCCCAACATCCCACTGAGATCTATTTAATCAGAAATTTTGGGACAGGACCCAGAATATGCATTTTTAAAAAGATTCATAGATGACTGTAATAAGCCACCAGGACTGAGAATCATTAGGAGCTCTTTGAAGATGGAAACGTCTTTGTAATCCCAGATTTGCAACAGCACCTGGCATACAAATCGCTTATTAAAACATCTAATAAAATAATATATAAATACAATTATACCTCTTAACATTTAAAATAGTTTACTACCTGCTGAGTGAGAATCATCCTTCTTGGTCTTCACATCTTTGTCTTCTGAGTCCTCACTATAAAGGGAGGCAAAAAAGCAAATGCATGTAAGTCTTAGCTCAAAATTTAAGTGAACACAGATCTCTGATTTCTGACTTGAGAAGAAGTGAAAAATACCTCTTCTATATAAAATGTTCAAACAAATGCTAAGGAATACTTTATTTCCTTACTTTACAGGGATGCTGGTGAATAAGCACAATTTTATCTACGTTACAAAATACTGCTTCCAAAGACTCAAAGGAAAAAAAGAAGGTGTCTCAACACAGGCTGGAATTTTTTCACCTACGGACAAAGCTTGGTTCACAAGAATATTTAATAAGAAAAATATTTCTTGAATAGAGGCAGAGTATAAAATAGTAAAATACTAAAAGATCACTAAATATACACGTGAAAAACTGCTAAAATATCTAAAATTATTAAAAGGAATTGTAGTCCTGGCATGGTGGCTCATGCCTGTAATCTCAGCAGTTTGGGTGCCTGAGGTAGGCAGATCACTTGAGGCCAGGAGTTCAAGACCAGCCTGGGCAACATGGTGAAACTCTGCCTCTACTAAAAATACAAATATTAGCTGGGTGTGGTGGTACATGGTTGTAATCTCAGCTACTCAGGAGGCTGAGGCAGGAGAATCACTTGAACTCGGAAGGTGGAGGTTGCAGTGAGCTGAGATCACACCATTGCACTCCAACCTGGGCAACAGAGCGAGACTCCATCTCAAAAAAAAAAAAAAAACCAACCAGAAACAGGAATTGTAGTTCAGTTACTAACTTACAATATGCCTAAAAATGTACCTAAAACAAAATGGAAAATAAATTGATTGAATTATCCCCTATTAATATTTCCTTCCAACATTTCTTTGCATCAGAAACATCAACATATAGTCCTGCCTGGTGGTACCATGAAGAAAATAAAAGTGAGCTCAAAATCACTCTGCAAAGTAAAATAAGATGTTAAGGAGCTTCAAAGCTCAATGGGAAGTTTTTAAAAACAATTTTTAGTCACAACCTAACACATTATGTCTTCATAAGTCTTAACTCCAGAATCTGGATTCTAGTATCCTATCTCTCTTTGTTAATTTACGTATTTTTAAAAATAGAGATGGGGTTTCACCATGTTGCCCAGGCTGGTGTCAAACTCCTGAGCTCAAGTGATCCACCTGTCCTGCCCTCCCAAAGTGCTGGGATTATAAGTGTGAGCCACCATACCCAGCCCCTAGTAGTCTATCTCTTTGTCATTAGTTAGTTGTATGATCTTAGGCAAATCACTTGGTATTCTTCAGTGCTACAATTTTATGATTCCATGCAAAATTCTGAAGAACAAAAACCAAAAACTCGCACATAAAAACTGCCTTCAAAGTTTTCCTTTCTCAAATAGCAGGTCTTATAAATCACTTTTGGTATGCCCCATAATCTAGACCACACTCAAATGAGAAAATACTGAATCCATGATTCCTAAGCAAAGAGAATGATCAAACATATTCCTTTACTAAGCAACTTGAATCCAACACACTTTATAATTCTGAAATCTGTGACTGTTCTGTATAAATGTTTTTTATGCAAAATAAGCACCAAATTCATAATTCTAACACAATGATGAATTATATTATTTTTTCTACCTCTTTGATTGAGTTTATAGACTACATTAATCTTTGAGCACCACTACAGCAAAATTAAGTGAAGGCTGAACTTTGAAAACAGAAAAATCAACAGAGCACTGGTCTGAGTAAATACACAAGGCATACAGATAGGAATAAAACCTATATTTATTTCAATCCTTCCAGCACTTAGAATAATAAAATCAAATGACTGCAACAAGAAAAACTGTAAGCTAGAAGTTAATTATGTAAATGAGACATTATAACATGCCACAAACCAGGTCTTTCCTAGGAGAAATAAGATAATGAACATAATGAAAAATAGTTCTGAGTTGGGCTGCCATATAAAACTGTTTGGCCGGGTGAGGTGGCTCATGCCTGGAATCCAGCACTTTGGGAGGCTGAGGTGGGTGGATCATGAGGTCAGGAGTTCAAGACCAGCCTGGCCAACACTGTGAAACCTCATCTCTACTAAAAATACAAAAATTAGCTGGGTGTGGTGGCGGGCGCCTGTAATCCCAGCTACTCGGGAGGCTGAGGCAAGAGAATCACTTGAACCCGGGAGGCGGAGGTTGCAGTGAGCCGAGACCATACCATCGCACTCCAGCTTGGGTGACAGAGTGAGACTGTCTCAAAAAACAAACAAAAAACTATTTTAGGCTAGGCATGGTGGCTCACACTTGTAATCCCTGCACTTTGGGACGCTGAGATGGGAGCATCGCTTGAGCCCAGGAGTTTGAGACCAGCCTGGGCAACATGGCCAGAGCCCATCTCTATTAAAAACAAACAACAACTATGTTAGACATATACCAAGAAGCTCTAGATGGCTTGTTTCCCAACAGTATAATTCTGTATTATTTTTCCTTGAAAGCACATTTCTGAAATGCTCCAGCAAAAAAAAGTATTAGAGGTTGTCAACATAAATAAAACTACTAGGTAAATATATGAATTTAATAATGATTTTGGTGCTCCAAGATTCTTAGGAGAACTAGTGAGAAATATTTCATTTATTTGAACTGCTCATTTGTAATAGTATTATTTGGAAGTGGTATAGAACTCTAATGGTTAAAAAATGTACTTTGGAGTCCAACAGACATGGTTTCAAAACCTGTTTGTCCATTTGCTGGATAACTTTGGTTAAATCACAGAACCCCTCTAAGTTAATATTTACCCAAATAGAGATGTTGTGAGAATTAAATGATAGTGTATGTAAAACACATAATAGAGATTGTCACATAATAATCATAAACAGTAGCCATCATCATCACTATAATCACCATTATCACCAAGGTCTTAAAGTTACATTATACCGAGTGTGAGAGTGTGTACACCTTTACTAAGCGGACAGAAATTACAATATCCTGTTTTTTTCTTTTTCCCCCCGAGACAGTCTTGGCTCTGTCACCTGGGCTGGAGTGCAGTGCTCCTGGGCTCAAAGGATCCTCCTGCCTCGGACTCCTGAGTAGCTGGGACTACAGGCAAGTGCCACCATTCCCGGCCAAATTTTATATTTTTGTGTAGAGACGTGGTCTCCTTATATTGCCCAGGCTAGTCTCAAACTCCCGGCCTCAAGTGATCCTGCTACCTAGGACTTCCAAAGTCATGGGATTACAAGCATAAGCCACCGTGTCCTCCTAATATCCTGGTCTTATGAGGCAAAATTATAGTTAAAATCACAACTCATTTGTAAAATGAAGGGAAAAGAAACTCTCCAAAATGGTTAAATTATTTAAACAAAGGAGAATTGATTATGAGACAGCAAAATGCAGCAGGCTATACAACTTAAGATTCTACAAGCTTTAGTTATAATTGTGCCAGTGATTTGTGACTGAATGGGATATATCACTTATTTTTTGTTACCACTACAATGAAAGTGTCAATATTAACCTTAGATAACAAGTTACATACTCAAGCACAGCCTGAGATAATATGAAATATGCAAAATATTAAGTGGACAGTAAGTAAGTACTTTTCAAAAGTATGAGATTCCAACAATTTAGAGATCAGACTACTCTCATCTCAGAGTGGTGACAATGTAAGCGGGAACAGAAAAACAATGCCTCTTACCTATCTTCCTGTGAATTCTTTCCAGATCGCCTCTTATTTTTAGCTTCTCGGGGAGATGATCGAATTTTCTTAGTGGGAGGGCCCGAATCTCTTCCATAATCTTCATCTAAACAGTGTTTTTCAAACTTAATTAACTAGGATTTTTGCATGTTAAAATCACCACTATATTTACTGACATAATTATCTCTCATGCTGTTTAAATGGTGAGAGGAGCAGGATTTCCCAAATAGTTTCTTTCAGTTTTAGAAAACTAAATTATTTCCAAACCAAGTCCTATCACCTTAACTTCATTTTTGCATATTACCCTCTAGTCCTTATGATATATATTTCATCTATTTTTAGCCAAGCCTCTCTTATCATTTTATACCCTCCCCTTCTGATTTCAACACCTTCACACTTATTTGAAAATTATCGTAATATGGTTATATTACCAACATTTCAGGAAGTAAACACAATTACTATTACTAAGCAAATTACTTTTAAACTAAAGTATTAAATACAACATAATCTTGCATTTGAAGAAAATATTTCCAATTTCAAAAGCCCTATAAAACTAACGAAAATGACTCTACCTTAAAAGGAAATTATTTCCAAAACTGTTTACTGCACCATTCACACTCACACACACACGATGGCGAGATGCTGGAAGCAGTCCAGAGCATCAGCAATTATTAAGTGGTCAGAAACATTATAAATTCCATTATGGGATATTATATAACCATTGATAGGAATTTTCCAAATACCTTTTAATAACATAAAATACTCAAAATAAAAATAACAGTATATCACATATTAACAGGATTATTCTAAGTAAATATGAAATACAAACATTTGAAACAATTCCTGACATGTAGCAAGCATTTAATAAATATTAGTGCTACACATTACTTTTTTTACTCTTCTTTGTATCTTTCAGTATTTTCTAAGTCTTCCCAAAGGGCACATATTATCTTTATAAATAAAAGTTAGAATAAGAAGAAAAAAGAAAAGTAAACATATCTGGAAAGTAGTGAGATTAAGGAGACAACTCTGAAAAAACCTCTTACGACTAAGACTTAGCTACAACACTCATTCTGTGATGAATTAGTTCACAAATCAAAGCTGTTTCACAAAACAGATTCTCATCTTAGTTGCTTTATTATGTAAAAACATAATACAAGGCACAAGTTTTATTGTAATAACAGCAGGAGCTTTTCTTCCCCCTGCAAAGTGCTGGGATTATAGGCGTGAATCACTATGCCTGGCTTGTAGAATGATGTTTTTTTTTTTTTTTTCAGACAGGGTCTCTCTGTTGCCCAGGCTTGAGTGCAGTGGTGCCATCTCGTCTCACTGCAACCTCCGCCTCCTGAGTTCAAGCGATTCTCCTGCCTCAGCCTCCGGAGTAGCTGGGATTACAGGCGCATGCCACCACTTCCGGCTAATTTCTATATTTTTAGCAGAGATGGGGTTTCACTATGTTGGCCAGGATGGTCTGGAACTCCTGACCTCAACTGGTCCGCCCACCTTGGCCTCCCAAAGTGCTGGGATTACAGGCGTGAGCCATGGCGCCTGGCTGACAGCAGGAGATACTTTAAGTAATGAACACTATATCAGAATTACTGGACATTTAAACTTTGGACTCCAAAACCAAGTAAGAAAAAAGTGGTTTAATGTTTATTATAAATGATTTACCATGGAAAAGTTAAAATCCATGTAAGTTCAACTTTTACTTTGGTTGACACAGATCATGACATAGTTTTGGTAAATACTCTAAAATAAAAAAGTAAAACTTATTCCGAAAGCATAATAAAAGTATATAAGCTGGTAACCTCCACTGGTTCAACTTACAATTTGTTGAAACCATAAAACTTACCTGCATCATCAGATTCCTGAAATTGTGAGTAATCAACAACCTTCCTATTTCTGTAGAAAGAAGAGACTCCAATTAAAATCATAAAACTGTAGGATTTTTCTAAGACATCAGAACACACATTTCTCTTTCATAAACAGAACTGAAGTAGCTCTTTGAAAACTATTTAATTGCCGGGCATGGTGGCTCATACCTGTAATCCTAGCACTTTGGGAGGCCAAGGCGGGCGGATCATCTGAGGTCGGGAGTTCGAGATGAGCCTGACCAACATAGAGAAACCTCATCTCTACTAAAAACACAAAATTAGCCAAGCGTGGTGGCACATGCCTGTAATGCCAGCTACTTGGGAGGCTGAGGCAGGAGAATCGCTTGAACCCAGGGGGCGGAGGTTGTGGTGAGCTGAGATAGTTCCACTGCACTCCAGCCTGGGCAACAAGAGTGAAACTCCGTCTCAAAAAAAAGAAAAAGAAAATTATTTAATTAATTTTTTGAGACAGGGTGTCACTCTGTCGCCTAGGGTGGAGAGCAGTGGCACAATCATGGCTCACGGCAGCCTTGACCTACTGGGCCCAAGTAATCCGCCTGCCTCAGCCTCCTGAGTAGCTGGGACTACAGACGCGTGCTGTCTAATTTTTTTCATTTTTTGTAGACAGGGTCTCCCTGCATTGCCCAGGCTGGTCTCAAACTCCTAAGCTCAGGCAGTCATCCTGCCACAGCTCCCAAAGTGTTGGGATTACAGGCACGAGCCACTGCACCCAGCCAAAAAGTATTTTTTAAGGGCCCCCACTTCTCAAGCCAAAATACTTAACTTTCTGTTACAAGAAAGCATAGTGTAAACCACAAGTGTGTCAAGCTACAATTCTCATACTGCTCATCTCAGTGATAATTCCAATACCATTCTTTTCTTCTCTTTTTTTTTTCTTTTTTTTGAGATGAAGTCTTGCCCTGTCGCCCAGGCTGGAGTGCAATGGCAAGATCTCAGCTCACGGCAACCTCCGCCTCCCAAATTCAAGTGATTCTCCTGTCTCAGTCTCCCGAGTAGCTGAGATTACAGGTAACCGCCACCACGCCCGGCTAATTTTTTGTATCTTTAGTAGAGACAGGGTTTCACCACGTTGGCCAGGCTGGTCTTGAACCCCTGATCTCGTGATCTGCCCGCGTTGGCCTCCCAAAGTGCTGGGATTACAGGCATGAGCCATCGCGCCTGGCCTCAAATACCATTCTTTTCTACAAAACAATCTCCCGTCTCTCCAAACAAATATATATAAAACAGCAAAATGAATCAAATCACCATGTACCTATATATTTATTATATACAAAGATACCATATTTATAAGCTAACATTGTAAATGATATCTTACTCTTACTGCTACACACATATATATGTGTACTTGATAAACAAGGTTATTACTAAGCTTTTCAAGGCAAAGGCAATTTTTAGGTATAGTACAGTTATATTATAATGCACAAAAATTATGGTAATGTTAAGCCTTATACAGAAGGGGAAGGAAACAAATTAATTGGTCCAGTCAAAAGATGCTTTATTTAAAAAACTATGAAAGCCTCACAAATTTATGTATGTCTATGTATTTGACTTTATTCTTTTGTTTCTAAACTTTTTTTTCCTTTTCCAATTTTACAGACCCGGTTTATCAGCAGCATTTTATAAAACTAGACCTAGGGAAAGAACTAGTTCTGGGGATATATGCATGATCTTAATAAAGTGAATGGTTAGCCTGTCCTATTATAAAATCAAAACAGTGAGAATATTTGCACAATCTATTTGACTCTAAATGATTTTAAGTACTCCCTAGCAAGTAAGGTACCTTTAACATCTCAAACAAAGCTTCATTTCTATTTTTGTACTTTGCATTCTAAATCTAAAAGTTTAATACTCCTTCTCTAGAGAGAGAGATATATATGCTTCCATGTTAGTACCCAAACAGCCTACCTGGCAAAAGAGCCTTAGATAAAAAAATGCACTTTTACTGTAGGCCTAAATCAATCAAGTGAATTTAAAAAATTAAGAGAAATATATGCTACCACCTATACTTAAACCTGAGCAGAGGGATATTCTTGGTTGTATAGATTAAGACATCACTTAAATTCAAAGACAGGATGGTCAGAATGCAAACACTGGTCCACCTTCTAGTATAGTAGGTGGAGATGATATGGATGGAGGTGAATTATGGAAAAAATGGCTTGGGCTTATATGTAGAGGAAGATATAGTTACGTACTCAGCATTAGAAAGAGAAAAAAACAAGGCTCTTACGGAGTTCCACCTTCTGTTTTTCTTTAATTTATCACAACCATTAAATATACTCCAACTATATATTTTATTGTAAGAAGCTGAGTTTATATTACCAAAGATACCGTATTATTAGGGAAGCTAACTTTAAATATGACCATTAATTCCATATACATGAGGGACCTAGAGTAGATGAATTCTAGAGACACAAAGTAGAGTGGTGGTTGCCAGAGGCTAGAAGAGTGGGGATGAGGAGCTATTGTTTAGTGGGTTTAGTTTCAGTTTTGCAAGATTAAGAGTTCTTTACAACAATGTCAAATACTTAACAGTACTGAACTATATACTTAAAAATGGTTAAGATGGGCCAGGCGTGGTGGCTCGTGCCTGTAATCCCAGCACTTTGGGAGGCCAAGGTAGGCGGATCACAAGGTCAAAAGATCGAGGCCATCCTGGCCAACATGGTGAAAATCCGTCTCTACTAAAAATACAAAAATTAGCTGGGTGTGGTGGTGCGTGCCTGTAGTGCCATCTACTCGGGAGCATGACGCAGGAGAATTGCTTGAACCCGGGAGGCAGAGGTTGCAGTGAGCAGGGATCGCGCCACTGCACTCCAGTCTGGCAACAGAGCGAGACTCTGTCTCCAAAAAAAAAAAAAAAAAAAAAAGGTTAGGATGGTAAGTTTTCTGCTAAGCATATTTTATTACAATAAAAATATATTTTCTTTCTTAAAAATATGACTATGAAAAAATCTAGTATTTTTGGTCTAATATGGAAATGCCTGCCATGTTCTGGCAAAACAGTGATTTTTAATGACAAATGCCATGAAAAATAGCATGATGATGATAATGCATTTTCTGTATTATTTAGGATTTAAAAAAAGGAGGGTCATGGAAATAGGGGAAGGAAGGTATCTAGAAGAGGAACTCTTACATCTTATCCTCTAATAATTAAAATACAGGTTCTGAACTTGTAGGTATAATTCTAGCTTATCCCATGCTTGTGGGTTGGCAACTAACATTATTACCCAGTTTCTGGGTACGACGTAGCAATGGATATATCCTATAAACTATATAAGAATGGACAATCAGAATGGTAAATGATATATGAAGTACAAATGAATAAATTGAGAATATTTAACTTGTAAAATGGGAAAACATGTTAGCTACTTTAGGGCTTTTATGTGAAAGGAGTAGTAGAGGTACAGCTGAGCTTCAGCAATCCACATTAAGTGCAGGTTCGACATAAAGAGCTTTAACTGTTTGCTAACAATGGCTACTTCCTTACTCTATCACTAGAAACACTCAAGAAAGGTATTAGTACAGAATCTTTGTACTAGGAATCCTGGGTTCTGGTTCTAGAATGTCAAGAACATCATGTAATTCCTCTGGGCCTTACTTAGTTCTTCCTCTGTTGGAACTGATAACCTAAGTTGCTTGACAAATTTAAAAGATATTCTACACAATTAAATGTTTAAATAATAAATTAAATAATAAATATTAAATTAATAAATGTAACAGTTGGCATTATATTAAAATATAATACAGAAAATGGTCATTGCAAATGATCATACTGCATTATGATCACAATACTGTTTTTCATAGTATCTGTCATTAAAAATTAACTGCCCTTCACAACAGAAAACTTAATCTCCTCCTTATCTATCTATCTATCTAGACAGACCTACCTACCTATCTTCCTTCCTTCCATCCATCCATCCATCCATCCATCCATCCATCCATCCATCCATTGAGACAGGGTCTTGTTCTGTCACCCAGGCTGGAGTGCAGTGGCACAGTCATAGCTCACTGTAGCCTCCAACTCCTGAGCTCAAGTGATCCTCCCACCTCAGCTTCTGGAACTACAGAAAAGCACACAGACACCATGCCTGGCTAATTTAAAAACAATTTTTTTTGTAGAGATGGGGCCTTTCTATGTTTCCCAGGCTGGTCTCCAACTCCTGGCCTCAAGCAATCATCTCGCCTTAATCTCCCAAAATGCTGGGATTACAGCTGTGAGGCCTGGCCTGTAACTTGTTACTTTAAACCTAAGACATTAAAAAGGATACTTTTTATTTAGTACATTTTTTTCTATCCTACTTTTCAACAAACAGAACTACAGAAATGCCATGTAGACTATAGTGACATTATATAAAAAATTAAATTTCAAAATTAAATTGAAAGACTATCCCCCTTCCATTGAAATACAAAATATTTTAACTTTCAATGATCTGAAAACAGCCAGAATTGTCTCATACAATGCCATTTATCACAAAAACCATAAAATCAGTGTAAAGCAAATTATGAATATAGAAGCAATTCTGCCTTATTAAGGACAACCAGTCAGAAACAAATATAGTCATCCATAAATGCTAAAGAGGGAAAAGATAAAATAACTTAAATAAATAAAAGATCTGTGATAACAAGGGCCATTCATGATGACTCATAATGACTCATAATAATTTGGTTCAGGCCGGGCTCAGTGGCTCACACCTGTAATCCCAGCACTTTGGGAGGCCGAGGCGGGTGGATCACCTGAGGTCAGGAGTTCAAGACCAGCCTCACTAACATGGAGAAACCCCATCTCTACTAAAAATACAAAAAATTAACCAGGTGTGGTGGCGGTCGCCTGTAATCTCAGCTACTTGGGAAGCTGAGGCACGAGAATCGCTTGACCCTGGGAGGCAGAGGTTACAGTGCGCCAAGATTGTGCCACTGCACTCCAGCCTGGGTGATAGAGTGAGACTCCATCTCAAAAACAAAAAACAACAACAAAAAGTTTCATTTCCCAAACAATGTCCTGTCTTC